ACTTGTGATGGCATTAACGCTTTTATCTTTGAGATTTAGCTTGGTTTCCAGTGCCCTTGGCAAGTAGACCTATACAGTGTGGTCACATCTTCTGGTTAAAATGCTTTCTTGTCAACTTGTGTCGTGCCAGACATGAAAGCTATGAAGCTGATTTGTTTCTTCTCTGGCGAAATTACGAATGGAGATCTAAGAAATGGCTGACGTCTTTTTTTTTTTTTTCTTTGGTTGAAGGAAAGGATCATTTGATCAGCATGTGACGGGAGAGAGGCCTTGGTGATTAGACGCAATTCAGGCTTCACAGAACAGTTTGTTAAAACTTTCGTAAACCCACCTACAGCTGTGCAGCTAGAAGCCTGGGCAAAAATAAGCAAATTAGAACAAGCACACAACCCCGTGAGAACAGAACGTGGATGTTAAATGAATGATTTGTCTGTTTCTAAACTGAAATTTTCTGAAGTTGGAGGCGCACAGAGCAGGGGTTATCCCGCATGAAGAGAAGATGCTGAGAAAGGTACTTTAATTTCATTCTTGGCTTGCATCAGTGTATCATTCTATTTATTTTGTATGTAAAATAAAAAATCTTGTCTTGTTGCACTAAACCAGCAGTTGAAAGTGAGAGGTGTAGAAGGCTTCATCTAATGTAACATTCTCTTTAGCGTCTATATGCAGTTTTTAACCGATATAAACAAAACCAAATAAAATTGTTTATATTTTTATTTTTATATTTAAATTTTTGTTTATATTAGAGCTCATAAAAACAATTGCAACAGAGCATGCGTTTGTTTATTATTTGTTTCAAATGAACAAAAGATTTGACACCTTTCTTATTACAGTGAAGAACACATTCTAAAGTAAGACTTTATTCTTTGGTACATTTGATGAATAGGTGTTCAACATACCGAGAAATGGTACAGCTTGTAAACAGAACTGATGCACCATGCCATTTAAACTTAAGCATTACTGTTCTATTGGATGCCACAAAACAAGCCTTGATGAGGTAATGGAGCAGAAATATTGAATGACACAATTGGAATCTGCCCCTCTTTGTTTAGCTTTTTCTGAGGATGGATATCCATACAATTTTGTGAATAAATGCATGTTCTATAGGGTAGGAATGCATGTAAGAGATTCTGTAATAAGTATAATAGTATGTAATATCTTTGGTGCTTCAGAATCAAATTGTTCTTGTAACCTGTACAATTTTGTGCAGTCTCCAAGTTATTCTGCAGGCGTCTTCAGTACGTAGGCATTCCTAAGCCTGCTTTCATTCAGTACTACAAAAGACAATGTGCTACATTTTATAATAAAAGGCTTGGATTGGGTTAAGAGGAATCTGATGTCTGATAACACTGTTTTTCAGAATGAATGTACCTTATCAAGCCCTATTCAATTAAACTTCACCTTTCCTTAAGAGGATTTTTTTAATCTGAGGGTTTAAAAGTTTAAAATGGCTTTTTGTAAGAAACCTATCAGAGCAAGATGGTAATTATAGCTTTTGTTGTTTTACTTTTAATTTTCTAAATAAACTTTGGCTTGCTAATGAAGCTATTTAAAATGTTTGTTTGACTATATTTTTCATAATGTATTATAGGTTCATGTCCATTCAGAGTCTGTACTGGTAAATGCTTTTGTTTGGGTAGGTTTGTCAATAGTGAGTCTAAGTCTATTCTTGAGCTGTGTTTACACAGAACCAACTTGGCATATCTGAGGTGGCTCTTATGCCTAATTTCAATACCTGTGAAAAATATCAGAAAAAAGATATTTTCCTTTATGTCTCCATTGAACTACCTGAAGGGGTGGTGAGAATATTTGCTGTCTGTGTAAACAGAGACATGGTGCCAAATTGCAGACACTGAACCTGCGATGTGACAGTATGGAAACAAGGAAACGCACACAAAAAAAAGAATGTTGTATCTCTGTGGCTATAATTTCCTTTGTGAATATGGCTCTAATTGAGATTTATGTGCTTTTTTGTCCATTGTGTTTTTGCAGCCTTCCAGAAACGAGCATAGACGTCAATCAATAGTCGTGTTTATTGCTCCTCGTTTTTTCCCCATTAGACTTTGCAGCTGTTCTTGGCCTTCCAGTACAGAATGAAATATGACTTTCACATACCATAGGATTAATGTTTTTTTAAACTTATATATAGACTCTTCTTAATCTTGAAGAATCAAAACCCCAATAGAAATGCGTTCTTCTGATTAAAAATGTGCTGCATGTGTTCCTCAGTCTACAGTACATATACTAAGAAGCATGCCTCCTGAGACCGTAAAATTAGTTTTCTTTAGGCCCCAGGGCTGCAACTGAATCTCACCAAAGCTATCTGTGATCTGAGTCTAACAGTTTCAGTTCTGTCATCCTGCCACTGTGACATACAGCACCCTTTATTGACTAGGCTGTGAGATTTGTTTGCATTTCTTTTTCTTGAGACCTTGTATTTAGCGTATCTCTCCATTTAGCATTGTTGCGGGCTTAATTAAGATGGCATCCATTTTTTTCTGAGCGGATACTGTGCATGTTGCAGACATTTTTGGCAGAGCTAGTCAAGTCTGAATACTCTGTTCACGTACCACACAGGAACTGCTCTCGAGTTTAAAGGCACCATTCTGGGAAAGAAGTACTGTACTTCTTTCCACAGCGTTTGATAATTGCTTTCCCTTCTGTTTCTCTTTGGAACGGAGCTTGTACCTCCCAGTCTTTCTTCTGATTAAGCACATTGTGACCATTTTGTTCTCTACTACCGATGCAGTTATAGAGTGGTTTCATCTTTGTTTCAGTGTTCCAGTTCTGGAAATATTGCTTAAATTACAAGAGACCAGCTAAGCAAACAACTGAGTGCAATCAATTGAGAGCTCGGGTGGAATGACACTCCTGAAGTACCTCTCACTCTCTATTCCAAGTCCTAGAGGAATTGAGTATTTTGTGGGTTATTATGCGTTCCTTCTTTACGAAGGCCTTTAAATGCATATACTGAAAACTGTAGTGAACGGTAGAAAAAGCATGACAGCTTCTGGCGTTTTGATTAGGGTTTGATCAGATCCCCGGTTAATGTGGCTCACAAGATGATTGATTGACTGTTTTTGTCCCAGTTTGATGGGTGTGTTTGTGTCATAGGGTTTAGAGCCATGTACTTTGACACAGTGTGGATGGAGGAGGCCAGCAGGACAACCTCACTGGTATCTGCTTTGCAAAAGATTAACGTGTCTTACACGTGGCATCATGCACAAGTGGGCAATTTATGCAAAGCTAGAATAGCTCACGTGTTGTCCTAGGCTAGGCTTCCTCAAGCATTCTGTTAATGTCAGCTTCTCTATACCAAAACAAGCTAAAGGATCATCCGTTTAACATAACAGGAAGTGTCAGCTCAGGGAGCCATCCTAAATGGTTTAGGTTTTGTTTAATAAAGCAGTACAGCACTGTAACACTGTGCTGTACTTTGTCTCCATCATGTACAACCCTTCTCTTTGGTATGTTCTTTCACTGCAAAAGCCAAACCAATGAAACAAAGCAAATTTTGTAGTTGCATTGGGTCGTTTAGTATATAGGACTAACATTATAGAATCTGTTCTCAATAGCAGAAAGTTAAAGTTCATATTCCCTACATCACACTGTTAATTCTTGAAATTGTAGGATTGTGTTGCATGTTCTCTTACTGTATGTTCTTGGGCAGTCTTCTTCCTTTTTAGATATTGACATACTACTCACTTTATGAATTCCAGAAGAAATCCTGAGGAAAAACTACAAGTGAAGATGTAAATAAGATTATTTAGAACATCCTTTCCATTATTGCTAACATTCCTTTGAATTGAATTTTCTTAAATTCTTGTTATAGGAAAACCAAATAACAGCACTGTAGATAGTATACCTGTATTTGCAGTTGTTCCTAAAGAAAGTATAGAGTCTCCATTCCTTTTCCAGAGTCTCCTTCTCAGAAACGGGGGAGTAAGCATTGTGTCTTACATAAACAAGACATTTCTTTGTTTTCGGGAAGTCATGGGGTTTGCATGGGATGTCCTGGCTGGTTTACTGGCTTTTAGGGCTGTCTTGGGATTGTACATGACTATAAAAAAACAGACTACTGCTTTAGAGCCAGTACACTTGCTGTAGCTGCTTCTCTGCATATTTAACTTGACCTGGCTCTCGGGGCCGTTCCTCTTTATGGGAGCTGTTAAGTTGGAGAGTCGCTCAACCCGACTTGTCTTGAGTTCTGGGGCAAAATTAGCTTTGCTTGTGCCTTGCAGGAGGCCCATCATTCACCATCAGGTGCTTTCAGCATTTGAACTTCCTACAAATTGTATATTTTGAGCATCACAGATGCGCATCACTGATACACATACAGTACATTGCTCTAATCATCCATATCTGCTTTTTCAGTGCATTGTGGGACTGTTTCTGAGGAGGGATAATATTAAACCACATACCTTTAGCTATGCTGTATTTCATTTAACTTTCCATTGCTAATTAATTTTAGGAACTACCTTTTTTGACAGCTGCTTGTTTAGTGCTGGGTACTTTTGTCGACCCCCCTTTCCCTCTTCACAACCCAGAAGGGCTAGTTACAGTGAGATATTGTAATCGGGAACAGGGCATGCCCCTGGTATAGGGGAACTAGGTGACGGTTTAGGGCCCCGAGGCTGTTGGAGGACCCCCTCGGTGTGCAACACAACGTATCGACACGTTCAAATGTGAACGAAAGATACCTCTAGCCGCTCTTCCTGTTGCTGTTGTGGATTATCCTAATGGGCGCTCAATTAAAAGCTGACTGATCAGAATCAAGAACCCTAATGCTGTATGTTTCTGAAGCGCAGGGAAAAAAAAGAGGGATAAGCGATATCAAAAGAGAGATGCGCCAAATGAATTCATTATAATATGCGTAGTAATGAAATAAGTTGCATTTTATTTGGCTTTGAGTCTGTCAGGTCCACGTTAACAGTGAACGATAGATGTCAACTTCAGGTTTCTAGCTTGAAAATGTAACAAGTGAGGGGGCTACACGAGAGGGGCTTTTACTAGAGGTTAACAGATTCACGTTTCCCGCGATCGTACACATGCCGTGTGGGTCGCCTTGGTTAAAAATCGGCGCCACTCGGCCACACAAAAATGTGAAGGCAAATGTATAGTGCAAAGGATTGCTCAGCGATTACACGTAATCGGCATTAAAATGCAGGAGAGACGGCAAGGAAAACCATGCATTTCGTTAAATGAGGGGGGGGTATTATGGACTCAATTTGCAGTCTCTCTCAGCGACAGCGGCAGGAGCTGACAGGAGCCTTTCAGAGCTCAAGTTGATAAAAACATACCCGAGGTCCAAAATATAGGCGAATTGATTTATGGAGTGTTTTATAAAAGTATTGTCTGGTGTATTTTCTCAGAGGGGGTCTCATAAACCTGATTAATTATTTTTTTTTTGCATTGTATGCCTAACATGAAAACGTCTTATGCCTTTTCTAACCTTTAAAACCTGTTTTATCGATACTCCTGTTGGTGTAGTTTACCCGTCTTGGTTGTATT